CATATTCAATGGTTCAGTAATTGATATAGAATCATTAAAAAAAAAAAATAGAGTCAGTGATGTCTCAGAGTCTAGAATCATGTTTGGAAAGAAGCAATAATCTCTAGAGATACAAACATTTAGCTAATCAATGACCAGCACTGTCCCTAGTTTAATTTTATTTTCAATCTATAATGGTTTCTGTTGACCTTGCTATGAACTTGATGAGAATGTATTCTAATTCCAAGAGAACAAACTCACAGAGAAAACAAACCACAGGTACAACCTTTCCTGAATATAGATAATCCTGAATTACAAATGCCCAACTTATTGATAACTTGTACTTATGAAAGAGCTGCCATAAAGTCTTCTTTCATTATTAATGTTTATCATCATTTTTATTATTATTACATGCAGTATTATTGAGTTTAAAAGGTTTTAGTGTATTGGAAATGGTTTGTGTTTTATATGCTTAGAAAGTTAATATATATACTATACACTGACAAAAATTTGACTAACTCTGTGGTTCCCAACCTTTTTTTTATTAGCGTACCCCGTGACATGTCATTTCTCTAGAATCAGCGATTCCCAACCTGGGGTACGCATACTGTACCCCTGGGTACACTAATCACGCATAATGGTATCACCACTACCATTGACCGACTGCGCAACATTTATTGATCTGTTGCATTGTAAAATCAGCAGCATAAGTTTTTATTTCTATTTTTGCATNTATGAAAGAGCTGCCATAAAGTCTTCTTTCATTATTAATGTTTATCATCATTTTTATTATTATTACATGCAGTATTATTGAGTTTAAAAGGTTTTCGTGTATTGGAAATGGTTTGTGTTTTATATGCTTAGAAAGTTAATATATATACTATACACTGACAAAAATTTGACTAACTCTGTGGTTCCCAACCTTTTTTTTATTAGCGTACCCCGTGACATGTCATTTCTCTAGAATCAGCGATTCCCAACCTGGGGTACGCATACTGTACCCCTGGGTACACTAATCACGCATAATGGTATCACCACTACCATTGACCGACTGCACAACATTTATTGATCTGTTGCATTGTAAAATCAGCAGCATAAGTTTTTATTTCTATTTTTGCATTTTGAAATGTATAATAAAGTTTGTGATTGTTGCAAGGAAAATTTTTTACCTAATAATTTTTTAATACTATTAATTTGTCATACATAATATATTATTTTTTCTGCCATAATAACTAACTTTTTTCTGTACCCCTAAACAACCTATCATGTACCCCAGGGGTACGCATACCACGGGTTGGGAATCGATGGACTAACTGATGGTTGACTATTAACCATACATGTTCTAATTACCTATAAAGTTGACTTAAAGACAGACTTAGGAATAATCATTCATAACTTGGGACAAACTATATACAGGGACTCTCTTTTCTCAAAATCTTTATTTGCAGCAAGCATTCACTTTTTAACAGTTGAATAAAAATTATCAATAAACATTTTCAAAGTTTCTTTACTTCATCTTCAAACTGTCATCCTGTTTTAATACATAGCCATTCAAAATGAAATATAGTTCAGAACAAACTGCACATAATCTTTTAAAGCATTTTAAACTATATAGATATAGTTAAAATTTTACATAGTTACAGTTAATACAATTTTATTCATGTAGTTAAAATATTTTAAAAAATCACATGTAGTTTGTTCTGAACTATGTTCCAATTTGAATAACCATATATTAAAACAGAACAATAATTATTAAATTTGCAAAGATAGTAAAGAAACTTCCAAAAAGCTATCAATAATTTTTATTGACTTATAAAAAAAAAAGTTTAAGGTGTTTTCCAGTTAGTGATTTCTACACATTATTAAATTATTCAAACATTACTATTAAACACAATTGCAATATGTATGCAGATCAAGCAATAATAAACAGAATTAAATGTAATGCTGGAAACACACATACTTTTCAGTTATAGCCATAGATGTTCTGAAAATGCACTACACTATTATAAGCAAATTGTAAGAGTGCAAAGCCACAGAAAAAACATATGAAGAATTAATTTTAAAATATATGGTACAATATGCAAATACTTCTAAAAGGATTTACTTAAAAAATAAAATAGTTAAACATTCAACATTATAAAAACAGATAATTAGCATGAATTTTGATATTCTTACACAACCATTTACTGCAATACAGAATATAGAATAATACTTATTAGCATTTGAGACAATGTAATGTAACATGGGGTCAAAACTTGTTGATTTTTTTTGTACTATGAATACATTTGAGATGTTATACAGTACAAAAAAAATTTAATATATATTTCAGAGTATGATATAAAATAATTCAATTGTAATATTATTAATAAATTAAATAATTTAAGTTTTTTAAATACAAATGAAGTTGAATATATATAACAGAACATTTTTATCAAATTAATTTTTCTTACAAATTTCTCTAGCTATCATATGTTATTGTTGTTAAGAACAGTAAATATCAACACTGAAATTAAATAATATATCAGTTTAATATAATATAGTTTTTTATGATTTAATGTAAAATGAAAGAATCAAAATTAAAATTTCTTGCCAATTACTGTAAGCAGATTATTTGATTATTACACAAAAATACAGTAATGCTCCCAGTTTTTAAGATTAACTTTACCAAAACTGTCTTTAATTTTTCAAATCTGAAGTTTTATTTCAAAATTCTGCACAGTAAAACTGTTATCAACTATAAACATTTTAGTTTCTTCAGCATAAAAATATTATTTAAAAAAACTTTAAATTTCACTGTAACTAATGTTTATTATTATAAAATTTATTAAACTTTTATAATTTTCCTCTCTGCTTATTGACTGTAAGTAAAGAACTACATAGAAAATTTTCAGTGTTTCAGCAAAGACATATTACAATTTATATCTCCATTTTTATTCCATTTTGCATGAATTTAAAGATAGCAATTTAATTATTAAATGAATTACTTTATTATAAATAAAAATGTATTTTATCACAAAATAAAATATTCAGTTTTGAAATCAGTTTCAAATGTAATAATACCTGAATGACTAATTTTTTGTTATTTTTATCCTTGTCAGATGTACAAGGATAAAAATAACAACTTTTCATATAAAATATTCATGTAGTTCATAAGACATATGGATTAAAATATATATATGTTTATATATGATAAGATCAAAACTGTATTCAGTAAGATTTCACAAATAATTTGAATTATTAACAAGTAAATTATTATTAGATAACATTCATATATGCTTTACTTTTACATTATGAAACAGTTTTGGTTTATTAATTAAGCTTTACCACTTATGATTAGAAATACGTTCTCAATCATTTTGTATCATAATAGCATATTGGACATTTTATCATTGGTTTTAGCTTTTTTTTAAAATTAATTCCGTTGTGAATAAAATGTAATATAATTTTAATTAGTAATATCAAGTAACATCAATCTGAATCCATTAGAAATGTAAAAGTACCTGAATGACTAATTTTTTCTTATTTTTGTCCTTATTAGATACTGTAGCATGTGACCCATTCAAAATATTAGTATAATTTACAAGACAAGAATTAAAAAATGATGTGATCATAGACATGTATCAGTAAAATATCACTAATAATTTAAGGTATAATAGTAAATTGGTTATGGTTTTGAATTATTAGATGAGTCAGATTAATCACCAATTATTTATATCATAATTATATCAATATGCAAAATATTTTCTTGTACCATCTTCTTTCAGAGATTTTTATGACAAATCCTATTATAAATTGAACGTAATATAATTATAATTAAGCAACATTAAGTAACATCAATTTGAATCATTTTCAAATTAAATAATTTCTCTTATTTTTGTCTTTATCAGATACTGTTTGCATATGTTAATACAAAATATTCACTTAATTGCTTCAACTTCTATTTGTAATATTTTTACTATACCTTGGCAATGTATCTACATCTTATTCTGTTTGGAAATAATCAAATTTTATGGTAAAAGTTAACCTTAAGTCATACAGTTATTTATCTACATGTATACGAACAGTGGCATTACAGCTTCATAGGGACCAGACATTTAAATTAGAAGGATCCTAGGTATAGCGTCGACTTCAAAACATTTTACTTTGGGGAATTTTTCCCCCAGTATCTTCTTCCATTTTTTAACGCAAACTCCGTGCCTAACCGACAATCTAGAGTTGCCAGATACAACCCGAATTTAAATTTCAAAATTCTTATGACAGTAACAAGTTTATAAATGGCCGCGTTCAACAGTTGTAACCGAGCAAATCGGTAGCTGTTACATAGTAACCTGGATCTGCCAAACGAGTGATGTCGCATTGGACAAAAAGCCCCATTGGTCAGTTTCGGGTAGCAATAGACAGCGTAAATGAAAGACACTACCAAATGTGATGTGAAAACACCAAACATGTTCCGAAAAAGAACTACCGTAGAGGGCATTCAGCAGAAAAATACTCAACAGCTCCAGAACTGTTGAGTCTGCTGAACACAGCCAATGATTGGTTTGGGGACCCCGTTGGTGGGGTCCCCAAACCAATCATTTATAAACTTTCTGCTCATAACACCGACCTAAGGTCATTCATTTATTTATATGTACACGAAAGTAACTTCTACCAAATTTTACATAATGATTATATTTAATCATCGATTATACACTATCATTTTAATTGAAAACGTGCTATTAATTTTTCAAGGTCTTTTAAAGGTTTAATTCAGTTATAAATGTTAAACCGTAATTAAACGGCCTTTTTGAAATTAATCCAACGTTCTAATGCAATTATCGGCTTTGTACGGAATATAATTCGTATTGAAATCTTTCATTTACGCATAATTATAAATTGAAATTTGAATAATTACACATTTACTCAACGTCCTTATTATATTTTTATAAGGATAAAAGTCAAACATTAGGCCTAAAAATCTTCAGACGGAAATTACAAACCAGACGAGAGTAACATCTTAACAATAATTATTAATTACTTACAACTTCGCCTTTCATGGTAGACATCTTTTGTAATAATGGATTTAAAATATATATCTTATTCGTTTTAGTGACGAAGATGCCGCCATCGAATGAAAAAATAAAAAAAATAAAAAATAAAAAAAAATTCGAAACACTGTTTTGAGTCAACGAAGACGAGACTTGTTTTTCTCGTCAGCGGGAAAGCCGGAAGTGAATTACGAGAACGGAAGTAAGTAAGTGACCACACGTGGTAATAATTTTGACTAATTTTTTGCGAAATTTTTTATTTTATTTATAAATATGTAATATTATTTATACCTTTTATAGTAGTATTAGTATTGTGTAATGTTATTTTAAAATAATTTCGTCTTATATATATTTTGCATTTTTGATTCTAATCACTGTGGGGTACAAACAGGGCTTTTTTTTTTTTATTGTATCGATCGTAGATTCGGCCTAACGGTGAGGGATGGGGTCTGACGTATCCGGGATAAAATTTCCTGGGATTGTTCCCCGGATTCGTATTTCTTGCCTTAACCGACTTTTTCATCATTTTTTTAAACTCTCCGCCCTGTCAGTACTAAAGCTTAGTTCACACTGAGCGCGTTTCACTGGCGAAAGCAAAACCAGAGCGACTAACACGTCAGACATGACATCGTTTCCGGCGAATTTTACCATTTCGCGAATCTCTTTGAAGTTCGGAACTGTCGAGCTTTTTCGCTTAGAGAAAAATTCGTATTCCTGTTAGTTGACACGTGGTTCTTGTCATTTTACTTTTCGAGATGACATTTTCTCTCGCTTGCAAATGATTGGTTGCTTAAAATTTGCAATTGCTTTCGTTATTCGTTCAGTATGAACTAATCTTTGAGAACCCTTTTTGGCAAGCCCATTATGGATTAGGACGGGTTCACAAGAGCTGGGTGATGAGAGACGGAAACAGACATATTCGTACTGACCATTCCCGAAAACTCCTAGGTTTATCAACCCATTCGGATGCGATCAGCAGCGGGCAAGACCTAAATTTGATGTGGGCAAGGTACATTTCGCGAGGTCTTCTTGTAGCGCAAGAAGACGGATTTTATAAAATAAAAAGCAGTTGAAACTGGCAAATTTTGATTCCTAAAAATGCAAACTATAGTCTTTAACTAACATTAAAGAAAAATTAAAAAGAAAAAAAAATTAAAGAAACAGAAATTTCCTGCTTTTAGCCTTACTGAACTCCTTAATAATTGTATCGTAATTCAGCTTAGATGCTATATATGCTTCAATAGATAAAACTGCCAAAGCTGAAAGTCTTTCCTGACCCATTGTATTTCTTAAATAATTTTTTATTAGTTTTAATATTGAAAAGCTCCTTTCAGCGTAGGCAGTACTTACCAGTATTGTTAATCAAAGGCAAATTAAAGTTTACTATGAAGCCCTTATCAGACACAAGGTGAGAAAGCAGAATCGAGGCAGTGAAGGCCGTATTATTGCAATTTGATGTTGAATGCATCGAAAGCTTAAAAAATCAAACGGAACAATCAGACACACTCAGTGATTGTGATTTGGTTTTAAACGAAATGCTCAATTTAGAATTTATCATATCATTACATGTATGGTATGAGATATTATCGCGTGTTAATATCATAAGCAAATTATGGCAATCTTTACAAGTCCATTTAAGCAATGCTCTTGAACATTTGCGTACATTTTGTGACTGGATCAAAGAATATCGACAAAGTGGATTCGAAAAATGCTTGTCTGACGCTCATCAATTTATTGAAAATAGCAGTTATGAACTGCCAAAAGACTTTAAAAACGAAAGGGTAGCCGAAAAGAAAAGGATGTTCGATGATGAAGGCAGCGATCAACCTATATAGTCTCCCAAAAGCAGGTATGAAAGATTTTTTTTTAACACCACGATTGATTCTATAATAAGCAATATGGATTCGGGATTTATGTCTTTAAATCAACATTTTGAAAATTTTGGTTTTCTCTATGATCTAAGCAAGTTAAAAAATATTCCAAAAGAGCAAATATTAAAAAACTGTCAAGATTTACATTCAGTCCTGCGAGTGAGTGAGAGCAGTGGCTTACAACCTTACGAATTATATGAAGAATTACAAACAATGATCCCAAATTTACCCAACTTCATTAAAGATGTGAAACAGCTGTTCCAATACATAACAGAAAATAACTTGAAAGAAATTTACCCAAATATTTACATTGCCGTTCGAATTTTGTTAATTCCCAGCGTTTGCTGGAACTTGAAAATAGCAAATAAATTTTCTGAATAAAACCAAAAAAATGTTTTTGCTGCCACAGAAGATTTAGCTGCTTCTACCAGCAGCAGATTCCAGCTATGACAACCTCAAAGTGTAAAAAATGCCCTAGGATTAATATTCGAGTTTTAACTCTACTAGTTACGGGATACTTTACTGCGATACTTTGATTGGCTTTCTAGCCGTTGAGAATCGTGAAAGTAACATAAACAAACACAATGGGAAATCCCCAGCTCTGGCTGCAAGGATTCTCCGCGATAGCAACCCAACGCCAGCAAATGTTGCTAGACAAAAAAAAAACAAATTTGACATGTCAATATTTTTTATTTATTTATTTGAAAACTCCATACATAAAATTAATTTTTAGGAGGAGGGGTAACATTAATAACTTTGGTTATTAAATTATATTTATTCCATATAGACTCAAGTGAGTCATTAATGGAAAATAATCCATGAATTCTATCTGCTGGATTTTTACAAACAACATTATTAGTACAAAAAACATTATTAAGAAGTGTTGATAGACGCAAATGTTCGAAATCCTCGCAGTCAAACATGTAGTGATTTAAAGTCGCATTTCCTTTCTTACAAAACGGGCACATTTCCGATGAACGTAGATCAATACACAAGTGTTTCCATGTTAAACGAAACTTATTTAGACGAATCTGTATGATCGTTTTTTTAACAATAAACGGTAACTGCTGGTTATAAATGTAAAAACACCGATTGTTATCTAATATTTCTGGGTACCATAAATGATACTTAGCCTTAAGAATCCGGTCCCCTTCTTCTCTCAAGAAAAGATTATCAAACTCTTGTAAAATTGTATTTGCGTAATATTTCAAAACATCTGGAGAGGAATCTATTAAGGAGAGTGAGAAACCTATTCTATTAAATAGATTCTCCAGTTTAGTAAACCAACAGTATTTGAACGATCTTATCGATGAAAACTTCTTGAAAGTTAAATAAGCCTCATATTCCAAGGATGATGGGTCAGAGATTATGTTTGTCAGAAAATTTAAGGTCAGTTTTACCAAGCGTTTCCGAGGAAACTCAAGGCCCAATTCTGATCTGATTGCGTACGATGGGACCGACCTCTCAAGACAANATTTATCTCGTCATTTAAAATTGGCTATCAAACAAAATATTTGTTATTTTAATGAATTTTTAATGCTTTAGTCTATCTTTGTTGAATATGCAATATATAAGGGAAAAAGTTGGTTGTGAAAAAATTCTCTCATGCTTACTTGAATTGATAAAGGAAAGTTTGACCAAAACCAATTTATTTTAATATTTATCTGACCAAACTTATTTCTAAATAGAGGCAATATTTACAAAATTGTATTTGTATTGTTAATGAATATCTTCAGGAGAATATTGATAGAATTTTTGAAAATAAATATTTGATAACTTGTATTTTTCAATCTGTGATATTAATTTTTTTAACTACACATTTTGATTACCATATTTTATGGCATATAAGATTCATCTTCACTTTGGCACAAAATATTTAGGGAAAAAGTATCTAATATATTTAAGACATTAATACCTTTCATACTTTGCTGTATTTTGGTTTAAAAAATATAACAATGAGTTGCATAACTTTCCTGGCTGTTATGAGATTTTATTAAAGAAACTTTTTATATTTTTAATAATTCTAAAATAGCCAAAAGCTTAATTTGAGGGTAGAGATGAGTTTTATAAAAGATTGTAAATGCTAATAATGAATAAAATCTTCATTAAGTCCATTTCCACTTTAAGATATCATACATGACCTCCCTCTATCTCCTCACCCTTTCAACATTTTAAATACCAAAATTTAATAATGTCAATGCCTGTTATACACAAGCTACCATGCCAAATTTCATTTATTCATCATCATCCCATCCTGAGATATTGAATAAAATATATTTTGTTTAATATATAAATATAAATAAAACATGCAGAATTTTTTTCTGTTTTTTTTTTCTATTGTTTTACATTCGGGAATCTCAGAATGTGGAGATTTGCAAAAACTCTGACGGTCAAATTTGACACAATTCCAATAATTTCTCTGGTTATTTATACATAACAGTCAGGAAAGTAAAAGTAAAATCAGAATGCACATTTTTATTTATGTGGAAAAAACAAAGTTTACAGGAAATTATTTACCATTAAAATATTATACTGTACTTGTTCAAGAATATATGCAAAAACAGCTTAGCCATAACAAAAATATAATAATAATATGATGTTTTTGTTATGGCTTAGTTGTTATGTAACATATTATTATTTTGGGTTTAGTGAGTTATACTCAGTTGACAACTGAGGAACAATAGGCAGTGGCGTACCGTGGGTGTCAGCCGCCCGGGGCGGAGGAAAATTTCGGCCCCCCTTATTTAGGTATTTCAATTTAAAAGACCGAAATTCAGTTTTTCACAGAACAAGCAATGAAAAATTTGGTGGTAGTGCAGCGACCTGTTTAAAATAGTTCTATTGGATATTAGTGGATTATATTGGTGGATATTAGTGGATTATAGGATTCATTCGTGTATATGAACGCGAATGAATCGTAAGGAAAAAAGGTCAACAGGTTTCGCAGGATTTCCTCGGATGAAAAGATTACTAGTTCACCCGGACGGCGAGCCGGTTCCCGGACTGTCCGGACGATAGCACTATCGTAGGCGTGATGCAAGTATACATTAGGATGTTTCAAATTTCCGGTCGACAACTGTAATTCCACTGGAAAATGGTCCGAAAATGAGAAAGACCCAACACGAAAGGATTCAACCTTATGAACAAGATTCTGAGAAACGACTATAAAGTCTGTTATCGAGCTACCCACTTTTGACAAAAAAGTTAGTTCACCTGGGAAATCTCCCTTAGTACGACCATTAAGGAGAATAAAATCGTGTTCAATCAACCAATTCAGAAACTGTCTCCCGGCCGTGTCAACCTTTAAATCCTTTGAC